TTTTATTCCAAGAATCTGTTTGAATGGTTTTTCGGGGGCTCCGCTGGCAACCCCAAGCACCCCACAAAAACCCGACGTTCGGTTGCTTTCTACGGTTTGCCATGGGTTCCTCCGGCCCCCATTCGGGGGTTCTTCTGCTGTTTTCCAACAGTTTTGAAGCGGATGCTCTTGAGTACTGGGCGTTCCGGTGGAGACGGGGGCTGCGGAGTACTGGGCGCGGTGTTGGAGAAGCGGGCGAAACGGGCGGGGCGTCGGGGGGCGGGCGGCGAGCGGGATCGGGTCTTTACTCCAGCTCCGAAGGGAGCCGTCTTGGAAACGGAAGCTGTGGAGTACGTGGGTGTGTTGGAAACGGAGGCCGTGGGGTACTGTGTGCTGTGGTGGTGGAGATGGGAACTGTGGTGTACTCTGGGTGTGGCGTTGGGCGAGCCGCCGGGGCGGGCGGGGCTGGCGCGGCAGGCGGCGGGCGGCGGGGGCGGCCAGCGGGCGGGGTCGGGTTTTGAGACCACCGCCTGAGAAAGCCGTCTCGGAGTCCTGGGGCGCGTTGGAGACGGAAGCTGTGAAGAACTGGCTGATGCATTGGAGACGGAAGCTGTGGAACACTGGGCTGCGCGTTGGAAACCAACGCCCTGGAACACTGGATGTTGTGGTGGAGACGGGGGCTGTCGAACACTGGGTGTGCGAAAGAAACCGTCTTAGAAACGGAAGCTGAGAAGTACTGGGTTGCGTTGGAGACAGAAGCTGTGGAGTACTGGGCGTTGTGTAGGAGAGGCTGTGGAGTACTGGGCTGCGCGCTCGACACGGAGGCCGTGGTGTACTGGGTGATGTGGTGGAGGCAGAAGGTGTGGAGTACTGAGAGTGGCGCTGGGGAAGCGGCCAGGGCGGGCAGGACGGGCGGGACGGGCGGGCGGGCGGAGGGTGGCGGCGGCGGGCGGGCTCGGGATTTGAAGACACCTCCCGAGGAAGACTGTTGGAGAACGACGGCAGTTGAGTGCTGGGGCGCGTTAGGGACGGAGGCTGTTGAGTACTGGGAGTTGTGTTGGAGACGGATGCTACTGAATACTGGGTGTTGCGTTTAACACGGAAGCACAGCCAATAGGCGGCGGGCTGCGGGCGGCATGCTGGCGGCGGGCGGGCGGATCGGAATTTTGATGCAAAACCTGGGGATTCTCTCTTGCAGCGGGATGCGGCTGAGTACTGGGTGTTGTGTTGTGCAGACGGAGGCTGTTGAGCACTGGGTGTTGTGTTGAAGACGGACGCTGTTGAGTTCTGGGTGTTCCATTGAACGCGGAAGCACGGCGGGCGAGCGGCGGGGAGCGGGCGGCGGTCGGGCGGTGGGCGAGCGGATCACACTTGTCATAGAACTGCCAAGGGCTCTCCCATGCAGCGAGATGCTTTTGAGTACTGGGTGCTGTGTTGGAGGCGAAGGCTGTTGAGTACTCGCGCGCTGTGTTGAGAGACGGATGCTGTTGAGTACTTGGCGTTGTGTTGGAGACGGATGCTGTTGAGTACTTGGTGCTGTGTTGGAGACGGATGCTGTTGAGTACTCGGCGCTGTGTTGAAGACGGATGCTGTCGAGTACTTGGTGTTGTGTTGGAGGCGGATGCTGTTGAGTACTCGGTGTTGTGTTTGACACGGGAGCACAGCGGACGGGCTGCGGGCGGCGGGCGGGGCGCGGGTGGACGAATCGGGTGAAGAAGAGCTCCTGGGGAGTCTGTCTTGAAGCGGGAGGCACTTGAGTACTGGATATTGTGTTGGGGGCAAAGGTTGTTGAATACTGGACGTTGCGTTGGAAACGGATGCTTGCGCACTGGGATTTGTGCTGAACACGGAAGAACGGCGGGCGGGCGGCGGGGAGCGGATGGCGGGCTGGCGGCAGGCGGGCGGATCGGGGCTTCCATGAAAGATCGAACGGGTTCTCTCTTGCAGCGGGATGGCTGCAAGAGACGATGGCTGCTGAGTGCTGGGTGCTGTGATGGAGACGGATGCTGTTGAGTACTGGGTGCTGTTTTGAACACCTACACACGGCGGACGGGCGGCGGGCGGCGGGCCGGCGGGCGAAGCGGAATTGTCATAAAAATGCGAGGGAGTCTCTCTTACAGCGGGGTGCTGTTGAGCACTGGATGTTGTGTCGGAGACGGAGGCTGTTGAGTGCTGGGTGCTGTATGTGAGACGGAGGCTGTTGAATACTGGTTGTTGTGTTGGAGACGGATGCTGTTGCGTATTGGGTGGTGTGTTGAACACGCAAGAACGGCGAGCGGGCGGCGGGCGGCGGGCGGCGGGCGGGCGGCGAGCGGGCGGCGGGATGCGGTTGAGTATTGAATGCTGTGTTGGAAACGATAGTTGTTGAGATCTGGGTGTTGTGTTGGAGGCGGATGTTGTTGACTACTGTGTTGTGTTTAACAAGGAAGCACGGCGGGCGGGCGGCTGGGGCGGAGGGCGGCGGGCGGGCGGCGGGCGGGCGGATCGGCATTTTCATAAAACTCCGAAGGGTTTTCTCTCTTGCAGCGGGATGCTGTTGAGTACTGGGTGTTGCGTTACAGACGGAGGCTGCTGAGTACTGGGTGCTCTGTTGGAGACGATGACTGTTGAGTACTGGGTACTGGATGTTGGAGACGGATACTCTTGATTACTGTGTGTTGTGCTGAACACGGAAACACGGCGGGCGGCGAGCGGGCGGATCGGAATTGTCATCAAACTCTCCAGGAGTATCTCTTGCAGCGGGATGGTGTTGAGTACTGGGTGTTGTGGTGGAGACGATGGCTGTTGAGTTCTGGGCGTTGTGTTCGAGACAGATTATGTTGAGTACTGGGTGCTGTGTTGAACACGAAGCACAGCGGCCCGGCGGCGGGGGGCTGGCGGTGGGCGGGCGGCGGGCGGGCGCGTCGGGATTTAAATCAAGCTAAACTCCAGAGGATTCTCTCTTGCAGCGGGATGCTAGTGAGCACTGGGTATCGTGTTGGAAACGATGGCTGTTGATCACTGGGTACTGGATGTTGGAGACGGAGGCTGTTAAGTACTGGGTGTCGTGTTGAACACGGACGTACGGCGGGCGGCAGGCGGGCGGATCGAAAGTCTGCTGAGTACTGGAAATCGTGCTGGAGACGAAGTGTGTGGAGTACTGAGTGCTTTGCTGAGCCCGGAAGCACGGCGGGCGGGCGGCGGGCGGGCGGCAGGCGGGCGGATCGGGATTGCAATCAAAATCGTGAGGATTCTCTCTTGCAGAGGGATGTTTTTGTGTTGGAGACGATGACTGTTGAGCACTGGGCACTGGACGCTGGAGACGGATGCTCCTGAGTACTGGGGGTTGTGTTGAACACGGAAGCACGGCGGGCGGCGGGCGGGCGGCTCGGAATGTCATCTGGATCCGATGGGTTCTCTCTTGCAGCGGGATGCTGAACGCGGAAACACGGCGGGCGGGCGGCGGACGGCGGGCGGCGGTGCGGAATGTTGCTCGGGGATCCTGGCGGGGCCGGGAGAAGCTTCCCGAAGAAACCTAGACTTCGGGGTTTGCGAAAGCCGTCGGCTTGGAAGGCCAGAGCATTCCCGAAGAAACCAAGGAAAACACCGAAACGTTTCCGAAGGGGGGGGGGTTGTTGGGGGGTTCCTGACGTGGCTGGAGAACCTCCCAAACTCATTGAAACAAAACCCAAGCGGTCTTTTTGAAAAGATCCTAGAATGGCGGGGAAGCCCCTGAACAAATGATGCAAAAAAAAAGCCGAGCAGGAAGTTATGAGAAAGGATCCTGGGGGAGCCAGGGACAAGAACAAAATGATACCAGAGAAAACCCTATCAGTCTTTTTTGATGTTACATGAGATCCATGTGTAATTGCTCCTTAGGTTTATGGAGTCTGAGTGGGCTATGAAGGCTATGAGGGCTATAGGGCTATAGGGCTATAAGCTTATAGGGCTATAGGGCTGTAGGGCCATAGGGTTTCAGGGCTATAGTGTTATAGGGCTATAGGGCTATAGGGCTATAGGGCTATAGGGCTATATTGGCTATAGGGCTATAGGGTTGTAGGGATAAAGGGCTATAGGGCCATAGGGCAATTGGGATATAAGGCTATATGCCTATAGGGCTGTAGGGCTATAGGGCTGTAGGGCTATAGGGCGATAGAACACCCGGGTACCTGGGCACCCCTGGGCACGCACCTGGGCACCCGGGCCGGCCACCGAAATCGGCCACGCACCTCACATAAACATATGAATCCGATAGGACCCCTACAGAGGCAAGCTCTGATTGGTAGTTTTATGCATGCATATACTTCTTTATATGATACCGGAGAAAAAAAAACAATCCGATTTTTGTTGGGGCAATGGGGCTATATGGGCTATATGGCTATAGGGGTATAGTGATATAGGGCTATTGGGCTATTGGGCTATAGGGGCTATAGAACCCTAGGGCTATAGGGCTACAGGGCTATAGAGCTATAGGGCTATAGGGCTATAGGGCTCTAGAGCTATAGGGCTCTAAGGCTCTAGGGCTATAGGACCATAGTGCTATACGGCTGTAGGGCTATAGGGCTGTAGGGCTATAGGGCTACTGGGCTATTGGGCTATTGGGCACCCCCGGGCACCCCTTGGCACCCGGGCACCCGGGCACCCGGGCCCGGCCACCGAAATCGGCCACGCACCTCACCGGCCACCCGGGCACCCAGGCACCGCCGGGCACCCGGGCACCCCCGGGCACCCGGGCCCGGCCACCGAAATCGGCCGCACCTATCACCTAACCCTTTAATCCGCTAGGACCCCTACAGAGGCAAGCTCTGATTGGGGAACATATTAAAAAAATTGGGGGGTCGTTGGGAAATCCCTGAAATGGCCGGAGCACCACCGAGCAACCACCGAAAACCTCAGAGAAAAACATAGGAATTACAAGTTTCGGGGGGAGTCCTGGGCGACCAGAAGAACTCCCGAAATGCCCCCCGGAGAAAAAAAAACAAGCGGGGGGATCATATAAATTGCAAGAGAAAAAGCACCAAAGGAAAAAACAAATAAAAACGAATGGAGTTTTGCGGGGGGGGGGCATCCTGGAGTGGCCAGGGCACCCCCGAAAGATAATCACCCGAAAAACCTTCCAACAAAACAGGCCACCCCAGGAACACCAGCAAGACCTCGCTTCGTTTTTTTTTGTCTTGCGGATTTTCGACGGGTCCCCCGGTCACCCCGGGAGCTCCCCAGCAAACAACCGCCGCGGACCCCCTCTGGCTCCCTCGTGCACGGCGGGCTCTCCGCTCTCGACTCGCCTGCCCGTGGCGCATCGCTCGTGAGCCCCTCCCGATCCCCTCGAACAACGTCTGGCGCTCTCGGCTTTCGACTCGGCCGCCCGCGGTGTGTGGCCTCCTCGCGGCCTGCTCGTGCTAGGAGGGGGTTCAATGTTCGCTTGCTCGCAGGACCTGATGGCATGTGGGAAAACACCGACACGAAAACACACAATACATACAGAAAACTAACAAACAAACAACGAAGCACACAAGCAAACGGAGATGCATCTCGCGGCGCTGGCTTTTTACCGTCGACTCCGTCGCTCGAGACTCACGCCAAGGTGCCCTCTTGTGGCTCCCTCCTGCGGGGCTGCGCTCAACTCTCGGTTCGCCTGCCCGTGGCCCCTGATCAGGGGCCTCCTCGAGGCTCCATCATGATGGGCCTGTTTTTCACCACCACCACCACCACCATAAGTTGGAGGGGAGAATGAGGTGGAGGAGGAACAGGAGGACGACGACGAAGAGGAAGAGGAGGAGGAGGAGGAGGAGGAGGAGCGGGAGGAGGTGGAGGAGGAGGAGGAGGAGGAAGAGCCCCATCCAACTTATGGTGGTGGCGGAAAACAGGCCCATCACATCACGAGGGCCGGCACGCCAGCAGCAGTCGACTGCCCGTGGACCGCGGCCCGTGGTCCGTGGCCTCCCTCGTGGCTTCCCCTCCTGCGGGGCGGGCGCCCCGCCGCTCGAGTGGGCTTGCCAACCGCCGTGACCCGTGGCGCCCTCGTGGCTCGTTCTGGGACGCACAGAGGCATACCGATACTGTATGATCTCCTTGGAGGCGCGCGTCCGACCCGAACATACAGTACACCCATCTTGTAGCATGTGATTTCCCGAGGGGTGTGGCCAGATAGCGCCCGCCACGACGCATATACTATATAAGATTTCTCGGTGCGCGCGTCACCCCTGGGGGGGGCGACGCACATGTATCATAAGTATGCTGGGATGACGCCGACGTTCGTTCTGGGCGGTTACATGAGGTGGCTGCACTGAGAGGTTCTTACTTCGTCTCTCACAAGCTGGCTCCACGTGTCGATCTGTCCAGTGACCGCTCGGACTCGTGTGCACCTGTAAATTTCTACAGTCACCCCTCCCTCTGGACCCATGCCTCCTACTTTCCAGAAGCACTTGGGTTCATATGGCATGCTCACGGATCCAGTGGCTTCCCCTTCCGCTGGACCCACGAGTCGCACTTTCTGATGGCCACTTGGATTCCTGTAGACTCCTGCGGATTCCTGTGACTTCCCCTCCTACTGGACCCATGTTGCGCACCGTCCCAGTGACCACGCCTAGGGATCCACACTCATGAGGCTCCACACAAAAAAACTCGTGCTGGGTGGGCGCTCAATATTCGATTCGGTTGCCCGACTGGCACCCGTGGCCCGTGGCCCCATCGTGACTCTCTCGTGCATGGTGTGGCGTTCATCTTTCGGTTCTACTGCCCATGGCCCATGGCCGCGTCGTGAATATGCCGTGCGTGGCTGTGCTCAGTGTTTGATGCGGTTGCCCGTGGCCCGTAGCCTGTCCCCTCGCGGCTTGCTCGTGCGGGATGGGCGTCCAACTCTCGATCCGGTCGCCCATGGCCACCTTGCCACACCCCCTCCTCTCGAGCAGAAGGGCGCCCAGCTTTCGATTCGGCTGTCCGCGGCCCAGAGCCACTGGCCCCCCTCGTGGCTTCATCGCGCGGGGCAGCGTGCGACTGCTGGCTCGGCTGGCCATGGCCCCATCGTTCGGAGAGATGTTGGGCTCCGATGCGGTGGCCCGCGACCCATGGCCACCTCGCGGCTCCTTCTCTAGGGTGGATTTTCGACATCGGGTTCGGTCACGTGTGACCCAAAACGCCTGGTGGCTCACTCGTGCGGGATGGCGCTGAACCGTCAGCCTGGTGGTGATCAAACCAAAACTGCTCGCCCGAGCAAGGCGGACAAGACTTCTCCTGACTACGAACTACGAACCTCCTAACTGCCGCATGCTGCACATCGAGGGTGCCGCGGGGCTGGGGCCGAGGCACCCTGCGAATGAAGCGGCGAAGGTCGTCTATGTATAAGACTTGTCTGGCACCCGGGCCCTTTTACGGGCTCATCGTCCAGACTTGCCCGTGCGTCAGCATTTGTAATGCGGACAAGATTTGCAGAGCATCGCCGGGCGGTGTGGTTTATTGCAGGAAGCTCTTGGCAGATTCACACTAGCGAAATGTTAGTGGCTCTTGAAAGCAATCAGGTAAATTCGGGATTTGACGCTTGGTTTCGATGTACTCACGTATGTCACATGTGGTCGCCAGAGATGTTCATAGTGCTGCTGCTGTTGCTGCTGCTGCTGCTGGTCCGTTCTCTTCATCGTTTTCCTCATTGTCGTTCTCCGATTATGCCTGCTAGTTCGTTCTTACTCAGGAGGCAGACCTGACGAAATCATGAAGTGCCCGACCATGGTTCTCTACTCCTGCGGTGAGTGGGGAAATCTGTTCGTTTGCATGCGCATGCGCCCCCCTGGTCCATCGGGGGGCACCCAAAAGGGAGGTGTTCAAAGGAGGGGGGTCGCAGATCATGGCCCGAAGCATGTGCGCGGACGAAGGGGGCACCAGGTAACGTATTGAACGAAGAAGAGGAGACCATGAAATCTAGGAGATGGCATGGCCCCAACCCTGCTATCCACCCCCCCATAGCCATCCCCTCCCCCCCTTTGGCTGGCCCCGATTCACGGTTGGCGACGTGCCTTGTAGTAGGTCTTATAGTCGCCCTTGTCGAGGCTGTCCGAACCAGCCTCGCCCGCGGTGACGACCTTGTCCTTCAGGTTGCAGCCCTGAAGGAAGCGGGCCAAGTCAGGTCAGGCAAGCATTGCACCAGACGGTGCGTGAGCAGGATGAAACCCAAAATGCGGCCCTGCGGTCACACCAGAACGCTTCAGAGGAGGAGGAAGGGGAGGAGGAGGAGGAGGAGGAGGAGGAGGAGGAAGAAGAGGAGGAGGAGGAGGAGGAAGAAAAGGAGGAGGAGGGAGGAGAGCCGTTGCCCGACTCGGGGTCGGGGCCCCCCTGGCACGCGGAGCGCGCCAAGGAGGCACGGGCGCACACATCCGGCAGGGCATGCTGCATTCTTGAAGATCGGCACCAGGGACTAGGGCAGCCCTAGGGCCTCTGAGAGTGTTCAATAAAAGCGGAGGAGCTCTCGAGCGGGAGCGTCGTTGTTTGCAGGGGAGGCCGTCTGCGGCGCCGAGGCGGGAGCGCCACTCCCGAATAAAAAACAAGGAGCTATTGACCAGGAGCGTCGGTTCGGTTGGTAAGTGACAACTTGTGTGCCAAAGAGGCTGCGGAAAGGTTAGCGTATCGGGCTCTCGTTTAAACGCGTCTAAACCTGCTCTGTCTACGGTTTCCCTCAACACGCCCTCGAGGTCGCCAGGTCCACCCATGGCACCAGACCCCGGAAGGAAACGCACTCCGAAACTGCCTCTAAAACGGAATCGGGTTCGATAGGCCACTGAGGCCCCCTCTTACCCTCGAAAAACGTCTGCTTCCTACATGGGCGGGCAACCTCCTCATCTCAATTATTGTCTCACCCGCCTGGCTCAAGCCTCTCCGTCTACGAACGAGCCAGGCCGATCATCTTCGTGAATTTCCTCAGCTCCTCCGGCATCGACATCGTCATCATATCGCTCGGGTTCTCGCGAGTGCACACTTTTCCGAAGTTCAACCTGCCCTGCTCGCGCCACTGCTGCAGCGCCAGGAAACTGATCTCCACGTGCTGCATCTTTCCTGGCCCCCTCTTCTTCCCGATGTGCAGGGTACTGCTGCTATCACTCATCACGTATGGCACCGTCTTCTCTTGCCACTCCTCGAGCAGCAACGCCAGGCCAAGCGCCTCTGCAGCTCCTGACCCCAAGGCGCACAGCTTGCTATACGCAGAACTCAGGGCCACACAGCCATTGCGCCGTGACCACGGAAGGATGGTGCACCAGTGGTATTGCAACACAGCGCCGCTTGTAGAAACCCTGTCCTACTTGTCGTCAGCTCAGTCTGCGTCGACCCAGCACTGAACTGCGATGCCCTGCCTCTGAAGAACCAACTGCATCTTGTAGCTGTGTACCCGCCAGGTACCGTGCCGTCTTCTCCAAGCGCCTCAGGCCCCTCTCCGTCGGCCCTGCCATGCCACGACTGAGAACGCCCACTCCGCGTTGCACGTTTGGACGCTGATTCGCCATTTGCATGGGTTTGCCCACGCGCGTCTTGTCGCGGCCATAACCAGCAACGCCCAGCTCCTCTCGTCGTTCTTCATCGCCACCTCGTTCTCGGTCTCGGGCAAGACTGACGGCTTTGCGTTCTCCAGGCCTAGCTCCCTCAGGATGTCGTCCATCAAAAAACGCATTGCCGTTGATCGCGTAGCCGCCCTCGACCTTCTCCGCCTGCACGCACAGGAATGTCGCCTGGCCCCCTCTCTCGGTGAGCTCCATAACATCTGGCTGTTTCAGCTTGTCACCCATCACCTCCAACAGCTTGTCGACCTTGTCGTTCGGCCCCGTGGCCAGGAAGTCGCCAGCGCGCCTTCCTGCCCTCATCTTGTTGCTCGGCTCCATGAAGAGACATCCGTCGTAGCGACCGCTGACCACGTTCAGCTCCTCCCCGGCCGCTGCGACGCGGCCCCCCCAGGCCTTCGGCGCCCCATTTGAATCCAGGAAAAAAAGCCTCCCAAACATGTCCTTCAGGTACTCCAGGTTCTGGCGGCGGCTCCGGGAAGACACGGTCGCCTGTGTGCGGCGCCTGGTAGAAAGCCCCGCTGCTGTCGCCAAACGCCACCACGCGACCGCGCATCTCCGGGACCAGCATCGCCTTCAGGCGTGGAAATAAAGGGGTCGCGGCCACGAAGTTCTCGCGCCCGTACACCTGCTGATCGAGGCCCCTCGTAATCCATCGACTCTGCTTGCTGCCGTCCGCCTGGTAGGTGTCGACCCTCTTCCCAATCGGGAACTTCGACGTCGTCTCGTTGATCGGGATCACCTTCGCGATCTGCTTCCCGTCGCCTGCCATCCTCTCCGGGCGCCCCTGCCTGGCCCTCGCGAAAGCGCCCCCCAGCGCGCGCGTCTCCTCACCCCCCACCACTGGCTCCTCACACATCTCCCTGACCGCATTGACCACGTTGACGGCGTCGACCCTGGACTTCCCCCCTTCGACCCCTTCGTCTCCATCGCGTTCTCGTTCGGGGGTCCTTTCTGCCAACGGAATACCCACTGGCTGCGAAGGCGCCGCCCTCGGCGTCAACGGTCCCGCATCCTCCTCTCTGGGCCTCTTCGCTGCCAGCCTCCTCTTGTCCACGTCCACGTCGTCATTGGGTGCTGCTGCCGCTGCTGCCGCGGCCGACGCCCGCTGCTGCGGCGCCGGCTGCGATCCTCTTTCAGCTCCCGGTGCCGCGGCTGCCGCGGCTGCTGCTGTCTTTGGGCCCAATTACTTCGGCAGCGGCCCCAATAGGATCGGCCCCTGCAGCGACCTCTGCGTCGGTGGTCTTCCTCGTCGTCGGCGTTGGCTCCTAGGGTGTCCACTTCGTCTTGTCGAACGGCTCCCTGTCCCAACGTCGGCTCTCCACCTTCCTCTGCTCTGTCCTTGACCTGCACGCTCCCGTCGGCGCTCCGATCAGGCGCTCGCCCGCCCTCTCGTCGCGCCCCAGACTGATGCCCTCCAGCCACGAGAGCTCCAGCTTGTACGACCTGCGCTCCTGGCCTCCTGCAGATCACCGCCTCGCCGACTGCCGCGATCGGATTCCGGTGCTTGAGCAAGTGGGCATTCTCGCAGGGCGCGAGGTTAGCGCCCCCCCCCCCTGACCACGCAGCGGTTGCAGAGCGACGCCGCATGTCTCGGCAGCCACATGAGGAACGGGGAGTCGGGCCTGAGGTTGTGGCCCAGCTTCTCGTTGACCTGCAGCATAAGCGCCCTCGCCTGCTTCCTCGCCGCCTGCATGGCGCTCTCGGCCCTGCCGCTCGCCCGGCCGCTGCACCTCTCCGACTGCCTCGCGAGGGTCGCCCTGCAGACGCCGCCCTTGATCGCCCTGGCCCTGACCGCCGTGACGAACGAGAATTCAGCGCATCCCCACGCTTGCAGTTCCACTCGCTAATGACCCAGTTCTGCTGTCTAGGAAACCGCCGAGGCCACGGTGCAGGCGTCATCGCGGCCATTCTGGATGACGGCAGCACTCCAGACGCCCCCCGCGGAGGCGCCGCTGCCCACCGCGAACTCGAAGCTGACGGGGCCCCCCTCGTTGCCAGCCTGACCGTAGTCGAAGCTCAGCAGCGGGATCAGCTCGTCGCGCCTGCCCCTCCTCTTGCGGGCCATGTCGTTCGTCTTCGCCTGGGCGCAGATCTCGCACCAGGGTTCCGCGGGGTGGTGCGTCAGCTCGTGCCTCTCGATCTCCTCCTCGCTCGACTCTCGGGGCCAAGGTAGACCGCTGGCCGCCGCCTCAGGCCCCACCGCCCCTCGGTAGTCGGGAATCGCCGCTGGCCCCTTCCACAGGTGCGTCCGCTAGTACGTCTGCTGCCCCCCGTACTACTAGCTCCTGCTGTTCTCCTGGTGATGGCACCCGTGGCCCTCCCGCTAGCGCCCGTTGAACTGCGTCTCCTTCTGCGCCTCCCCCTCCAGGTCGCGCTGTTGCTGCAGCCGCGCTTACTGGTACCAGCAACGTCTCCCCCCTGCGAACCCCCCCCCATGTCGTCGCGCACCTTTGTCCAGCACTCCAGCGCATAGTGATTGGTTCTCTTCGCGAGTTTCACCAGGCCTGCCGCCTCGCGCTGCAGCAAGCCGCCCTCGCCGTCGCACCACGCGACCCTGTCCTCCATTCTGCTGCAGCACTTCCCCACGCTCATGATCGGCAGCTTCACATCGGTGACCTGGAACTCCACGATGACCCGTCTGCCCCCCGCAATGTAGAGCGCCACCGTCTTCGAGCCGCAGCACCTCAGCGGGGTGCCGCCCGCGACCGTCAAATCGAGATTCCGCCCAGGCTTGGTCTCCACATCCAGGGAGCCCCCGAGCCCGCACACGCGTTCGCCCGCACAGCTGTCCGCCAAAAACCAGAACGCGGGCCACATCCAGTCGCACATCGTGCTGCAAGCCTTCCCCTCCTGCACCTCAGGCCTCTCGTGCTTCGTGACCGCGAAGATGCACCCCTGCCCCCACTCGAACTCGTCTATGACGGTGATCGCTCGGACTCCTGCCTGGCTCATCGATGGCCCTGTGGTTCACGGCGATTGGCTGCTCGGTGGCGGCGTGCTTATCATGCCCCAACCGTCCTGCGTGATCTCGTTGGCTCCACCTGCCTTGCCCTTCCTGCCTTTGTCCTTGCCACTGTTCTCGTTTTGGTTGCTCCCCCTGCACCAGCTGCCCCGCGCGCAGTGCCCGCGCTGTCCGCAGATGTAGCACAGTCCCACTCTTGGCGCCCCCTATCGCGCCTCACGCTGGCTGTCGCGATGCCGATGCTCTCGCCATGGGGCCCGCGCTCTTGCTCTCGTTGCCCTTCCTTTGCTCTTGGCATCCTTGCCCTTGCCTTTGCCGTCCTTCCCCTTGCCGTTCGGGCACTTCCTCGACAGCGCGTCCACCTCCACGGCCCCTGCAGGTCGCCATCCTTTGCCGCCGTCTCCTGATGGGCTCGGCGGCGTGGGCCATTTCTGCTGGTAGCCGTTCTCGTACACCGTCGAAGCCTGTAGGTACTGAATCGCGGTGCTCACCAGCTCGTCGTAGCTCCTCTCGCTCTGCATCTGCAACACCGTGCGAATGCTCTTCTGCGCCTTCTGCAAACAGATGCTCTCAGTCACCCCTGCTTTAAACACTTCTCCGAATGCTGTCTCGCACCTCCTGATGTCGCGCCCCCAATCCGCGCGGCGTTGCTCGAAGCCCGCCAGGTCCGATGGGAACGGTTTCACATCGAGGATCGCCGCCATGATGCGCTGCGCTCGCATAGCCGTCGCTGGCCCGTACCTCTTGACCAGAGCTCGCCACGCCAGCGCCCCGTTCTGGTCGTCTACGCCTCTGGTAAACATCTAAGCGCTGCCGTTCACCGTCATGACCAGGGCGAGGGACATATTCTTGTTGGCCGTCATTCCCTCAGCGCCGAGCCTGTGGAGCGTCTCTCCGACGCTGATGTCAGGATCGCCCCGTTGTTCTGCTGCCTCCAGCAAGTACTGCGCCTGCGCCGTCTGGCCGCCCGAGTACGCCCTCATCACGAATGACCACTCCGTCCCGCGCTCCTCTTGTCCGTCGAACGTTGGCGGCTGCAGTCCTGAGCCCTGCCACTCTGCGCCAGGCTCCGTCATCTCGTCGAGCCCATCGACCGTGCATTCCAGTGGGTCACGAAGACCTCGATCTGCTCTGCACCCCTGTGGGCCACGAAGACCTCGATATGCTTCTCGTGGGCCACGAGGACCTCGATCTGCGCGTCCGGGGCCCTGGTGGCCGCGCCGCGTCCGTCGCCGTGGATCCGCTGTCCAACTGGCCGGCTGCGGCCGCTGGGGCTACGGCAAGCGCCCTGCCGAAGTCAGCTCCCGCCAAGCGCCCTGGGGATGGGCGCTTGGCGGGAGCTGGCCGAAGTCAGCAAGAATAATGGAACACGAGAGACGTTAGCAAGAGGGCAAGGAGCAGAAAACAAATGGTAGAACCAGACGGGCAGATCGGGTGGGCAGACCCGCTGCGGGCAGGTCGGGAAGGCGGGCCCAGGCGACCAGGTCGAGCAGGCGGGATGCTGAAGCGTGGGTCCTGCATGGATCGCGAGGAAGTCTCGAGCGATAGCGCGATTCCCAAATCAATTCGTGAGAAAAGTCAAAGCGACAGCGTGATTCTTGAGCGCCAAGGGCGCATCGTCGGAATAAACTGCGAGGAAGTCCCACGCGAGAGCGCGATTCGTATACAAATTGTGATGAAGTCCCGCACGAGGGCGCGATGTGGGAATAAATTCCGAGGAAGTATCAGGCGGGAGCCGCTGTTGTTGCAAACAGGGGGCCAGGGGCGCAATTTGAGCCGAGTGACTTTCCCTGGTAAAAAACCGGGTGCGAGCCCCAGGGAAGCACTTCAATTGAGAAAAAACAATGGTCACCCGAGGGGGGATCAACAATACTTATTCTTCAATAAAGGGAATTCGAGAACAACAGCAACAACAACAGCAGCAGCAGCAATAGCAACAGCAATAGCAACAGCAGCAACAACAACGATCAGTATCAGAATGTTCGCTCTTATCTGCCCGCGTGCCATTCAACACGTATATCCCAAGCCCTCGATATCCGCGCTCTTCGTCTTCGATGGTACCCCGTTGGGGGTATATGTTTCTTCTCTGCAACATGTACTCCATGCAGCCCCTACGGCAGGGGAAGAGAGGTCGGATAGAAGAAAGGGAGCTAGGAGCAGAAAACGCGCGGCAGAACCAGACGGGCAGATCGGGCGGGTATACCCCAACAGGCGGGTTGGGAAAGCGGGCACAGGCGGCCAGGTCGAGCAGGAGGGTTGCTGAAGCGCGCGTCCTGCAGAAGTCGAGAGGAAATCTCGAGCGATAGCGCGATTCCCAAGTAAATCGTGAGATAGGCCAAAGTGAGAGGGTGATTCCTGAGTGCCAAGGGCGCGGCATCTGAATAAATTGCAAGGAAGTCCCACGCGAGAGCGCGATCCTGCATAAAGTGTGAAGAAGTCCCGCGCGAAAGCGCGATTTGGGAATACATCGAAAGGAAATTCGGGCGGGAGCCGTTGTTGTTGTAAAAAGGGGGCCACAGGCGCAGTGTGGTGACACTTCGATTTCCCTTGTTTAAAACAAGGTGGGAGCCCCGGGAGAAGCACTGTAATTGAAAAATACAATGGTGACCAGGGAGGGGGGATGAACAACATTTATTCTTTAGAAATGAAAAAATCAACAACAACAACAACAACAACAACAACAACAACAACAACAACAACAACAACAACAACAGCAGCAACAGCAGCAGCAACAGCAACAGCAACAGCAACAACAACAACAAACCAAAAACAAAAACAGCAACATCAACATAAACAAGAACAACAACACCAACAACAACAACAATAACAACAAGACAGCAACAGCAACAATCACAGCAACCGCAACAGCCATATAAACAACAACAGCAGCAGCAAAAGCAACAGCAACAGCAGCATCAACAGCAACAACAACAGCTATAACAACAGCAGCAACAGCAACAGCAACAACAACAACAACAGCAGCAACACCAACACCAACACAAACAACGAAGTAACAACACCGCTTGGAGGCCCCATCGAACCCCAGCGTTCCGACGGGGGGGGTAAGAACCCTTGCTGGAGGACCCATGCGGGGGGGGGGTAGGGCAACAGGCAACGAGCAACGAGAAACGCCCGGTGCCACCGCGGCCTATTCGGACTGAAGCATTAAGAATCCTCTACTCAGGTTTCTCCCAGGACAAGCATGCGCGTCACGCAAAGGCTCCCATCCACGAGCTCCTTAATAAGGCACCATTACTCAAAAATCCGAAGCAAGAAATATTTACTGAAAAATCCTTAACAAGCAATCCTTTACAAGGAAAATGTACTAAATAATCCTTACTACAGAATCTAAACTTAATCCTGAGTGAGGAATATTAAAAAATGATCCTTAATTACTAAGGGATTAAATAATCCTTACTGAAAACCTTTACTAAGGAATCCTCAATAAGGAAAGTTCATTAAGGCAGGAAGATTCAAGGATCTGCACTGAGGAACCCTTGGTAAGGAATAAGTAATGAGGAAGTCTTGGTAAGGAGTCTGTACTAAGAGTTCCTCAATAAGAAAACATGCACTAAGAAGCCCTTAGTAAGAATCGTTAACAAGGATTCCGATGAAAAGGAATATGTACTAAGGCATCGTCAATGACGGATTGTACTAAGGAATCCCTAGTAAGGAGCCTTTACAAAGGAATACATAGTAAAGAACCCGTGTACCAAAGGATCCCTGATAAACAATATTTACTCAGGAATCCTAAGCAAGGCATCTTTACTCAAGAATCTGCAGTAAGGAGAATTTACGAAGGTATCCTTTCAATTACCCTGGCGAAAGACCCAACCATGTGCAGTTGTGGATACCGCCGCTGTATGCGCCAAATTCGGTCGAGCCCCTTTTGGGTCCACGAAACGCGTGAAGGGTGTGCCAAAATGGGTGCTCTGGGCAACGGGCATTTGGGTCGTCGGTGGGCCGCGAAGGGAGCGCCAGCATTTGGGCCGTCGGTGGGGTTCCCCATGGGGCGACGAAACGTGCGAGGGGTGTCCCAACATGGGCGCGGTGGGAGCATGCGAGCGCTGGCACGTGGGCCTTCGGTGGAGCTCCCTATGGGGCCACAAAACGTGCGATGGGTGTGCCTAAGTGGGTGCGGTGGGCGCATGCGAGCGCTGGCATGTGGGCCTTCGGCGGGGCTCCCTATGGGGCCACAAAACGTGCGAGGGGTGTCCCAAAATGGGCGTGGTGGGCACATGCGAACGCTGTCATGTGTGCCTTCGGTGGGGTTCCCTACGGGGCCTCAAAAAGTGTGATGGGTGTGCCATAGTGGGCGCGGTGGGCGCATGCGAGCGCTGGCATGCGCGCCTTCGGCGGGGTTCCCCATGGGGCCCCGAAGCTTGTGAGGGGTGTGCCAAAATGGGTGCGGTGGGCGCATGCGAGCGCTGGGGGCCTTCGGTGGGACTCCCTATGGGGCCACGAGACGTGTGAGGGGTGTCCCAAATGGGCGCGGTGGGCGCATGCGAGCGCTGGTATGTGGGCCTTCGGTGGAGCTCCCTATGGGGCCAAGCAACGTGTGAGGATATGCCAAAATGGATGCGGTGGGCGAATGCGGGTGCTGTCATCTGGGCCTGTGGTAGAGCTCCCTATGAGGCCACAAAACGATTGAAGGGTGTGCCAACACGGGCGCGGTGGGCGCATGCGAGAGCTGGCATGTGGGCCTCCGGTTGACCTCCCCATGGGGCCCCGAAGCTTGTGATGGGTATGCCAAAATAGGCGTGGTGGGTGCATGCGAGCGCTGGCATGTGGGCCTTTGGTGGGGTTCCCTAGGGGCCACGAAACGCGTGAGGGTTTCCCAAAATTGGTGCGGTGGGCGCATGCGAACGCTGGTATGCGGGCCTCGGTGGGGCTCTGTATGGGGCCACGAAGCGTGCGAGGCGTGTCCCAACATGGGCGCTGCTAGTATCTGGGCCTTCCGTGAAGCTTCCTATGGTG